TATTTTAATCTATAAGTATGAAACGTATTCTATTTGTAGTTCCTCAAAATGAAAATCTAAGGGAAATTTTCCTTTCGCTTCTTTCGAAGCTTTAAAAATTCAGCAGAACTTAAATAATGCTGTTTGAAAATAAATTAAATAACTATTCAAAAACAAATAAAATTTTCACAATCATTTCACCTCCGAGAAATTTTCATTAATAAAATACAATAACTACAAATTAAATATTGAAAAAAAAATGAGAAAATGAAGGCAGCAACGACAAAAAACGCAGTACACTTATACATCCATTACTATCGTTTTAGTTCGTTTCAACGATATCAGCGAAGGATATAAAACATTACGTTTCCAAAATATTGCAAAAAAAATAAGTAATGAAGTAATAAGTAATCATATTACAAAAAATAAGTGGTGATATTTGAAAGCAGTGGAATTTTGCTCGCCTGCCACGCTTTACTTATTTTAGAATAACCTTATCAGGACAATAGAATAAACAGTGATATCACCACAAGTATTAATAAAATTTTTATTCGCCACCTCAAACTTGGATAGCTAAATCGATTAATATATAGAGAGAAAAGCAATATTTGATACGGATTAAATCCAGAGATAACCATTTCAAAACAAATAATTAAATAATAATTAAATATAAGCGATATTAAACAACAAAGTATTGAATATTGAAGCATTGAGACCCAACTGCTCGGATTTCTTGGCACCAAAATGATGGAAGAAGAACGATTTCTTTGAGAATATACAATATGTAATATAAATTAACCTTTATCTTTTATTGACATATTGACATATGCAAATTTTCGCTCCTTGATGGCATATTTATACGATGTTTTCATTCGCTATAATTAACGGTAAAATAACGTTTCGCGTTAAATTGCGATTTTTTTCGATTTTTTGCAAATTATTTTTTCTGCAGAAAAGAATTTATTCCAACAAATTTCTTTAAATCGTTTTATTAAATTTAAAATCAAACGTTTAACACAAAGAATGGTGTTAATAGATTTCAGTGGAAATTTTGCACAATTTACAATTTTTTTTTCTGCATTTATTTATTTTAAGATAATTAATAAAAATGCAGTTTTATGCACAAATATACATCAATATATTACATAAAAAATATTATTAAATATATATTAATATTATTAAATAGATATTAAACGAATCTGTACAAAATTATAATTTTATTAACTTTTATAATTTCAGCTCATGATAAAATTTGAAAAAATGAAAAGGATAGATTTGTAAGCTTGAAACCATAATATATTTTCAGCAATAGATAAATTTTACATTGAAAAAATTGTATCCATGAAATTATTGTAGAATATATAATTGCCTCCGTGCCATACATGAAAATAATTTGTATTGTAATATATTTCATATATGCACAAGCAATACTTGAATAATTTAAGAAATATTGTTTTAGTTTGAAACCTATGTGAATTACTAAGACGAGTAACAAGAAAGTTCTAATATATCAGATAGACATCACTGCTATTCCACATATGCGACAATGACATGCCAGTTGTCTCCGTACTATATCTGAAAATAATTTAAGCCAATATTCTCCTATCGTTCATATCCATCTTTCGTTGAGGCACTTATGCTCCTTCAATCGATGCACATCTCGACTGGTCTAAAATTACTAAACCTATTTACAGGATCAAACTCAGGAATATCTTTATTCTTAAGTTACTACCAACTACTGAGATAAAATGATTGTTGTTGGAGTAAAGCTTATCAGTGCGTAGCATCCTTGCCTGGTTCAATATAAATACAAATAATTCACTCCTAAGAGATTCTTGCAACACCTCACACTTTCATTATCAATCTAATCCTCTTCTATCAAACCACACTGTAATCTACTGGAAAAATTTAAGAATTATAGGTCTTGTCTTCAATTTATCTTAAATTACTTCCTATGTCGATATTTTATATTTCTCTTCAATCTTTTTTTCATTTTTTTAATTTTTTATAACAATTATTTTCTGCTGTTGTTTAAAGATTATTTGGTCTAATGAGATCCATGCACAAAAAAGATATAATTTAAAATAATGAGGCTAATGAATCAATAAAAGAATACAAAGATTTGTTGAATTTACGATTGCCAAAACTTTACGATGCAACAAATTATAAAAATGCCTTGCGCGGTAATAAATAAATCGGTCATTTCTCTGAAAAGTTAATATTTAAACAGCGAAAAAGAAATGTTTTTATTCGATAAATGATTGAAAAGAGGAGAAATGAAATCAACTAAATTCGCTTTATTTTCGGCCAAATATCGTCGAATTTTAAAAATACATCGGTTTATAAAAAATAAATTATTTGATTTATTAAAATTGCTGCGAAAATTTTTTGTTATATATACTTCCTTGCACCTCCACTGATCAAATACATTTTGACAAGTTGTCAAGTAAGGAAGCAAATTTTCATAATTCCGCACAATAAAAATCATTTTTCCGTTGCTTCTTTTGAACTGCTTTAAAAAGTCAAAAAACTTAAATAACATTTGTTCCATATTTCGAAAAAAAATTAAATAACTAATCAGAAACCAATAAAACTTCCACAACCAATTAACCTCAGAATTTTATATAACCTATACAAAATTTTGTTATTAATTAAAAATTAAAAAAAATAAGAAAATGAAAGCAGCAACGATAGAAAGCCGTTCCTTTATTCCTGAACCATTGCTTTAGGGTTCGCTAACAGCATTAGCAAAAGATAATTCTTATGTGCTTTCACCACATTATTTTTATTTTTTTATCAATAAGTAATTAATATGGACTACAATAATAAACCAGATAAGCGAAACAAATTTATTTAACTTATTTTCCAGCTATTTCACTCCAACTTTCTCCTATCTGAAATGTGAAGAAAAATGATAAACAAGGGTGAAACAATAAAATTTTTCTATTATTTATTCTGAAGAAAGACTTTTGTAATTCGAATGTTTTTAAAAAATAAAAAGTTTGCATTTTTTTAAATGAACGAAGTGCCATTTACTTCAGGTAAAATTCATTTCTCCTCTGAAAAAATGAAATAACAATACGTAACTATACTAAGGCAATATTTTTTAATTCAATGCTAAGGTTTAAGAATTCGTAAAATTATAAAATTCATTTTAAATAAAATAGCTTTATATGAAATAAGCTTAAATAAAATATTAAACAAATCAAAAATCATGACAGTTAGAGCGAAACGTACGAAATATTTTAAAGGATGGTAAAATCGACAAAAGGGCGACAAAATCGACAAAACAGCGAAAAATAGCGAAACTTTTAAATTATCATTAAATGATAAACTTTTCAATAAAACCTCATTATTCTTGAAATTCGACTTCAGTTAACAGTCAGAAAACAGTTACAGATTGGATTTTTTTCCATAGTGGGAATAAATTTGTCATTAAATCAGAATGATGCTGGGCACGTATCTGAATTTTTATTCCCTCTGGTGAAATTGGTACATTTTAGTTATCAATAAAATTAGGCAAATCAAATATGACAAGTACTGTAAGCAGACGAACCCAACTTGAACATTTGCTTTAATATTAAGCATGTCAGCTTACAAGTAAATTAGAAAATTGGTCTATAATTCGATAATATAAAGATTTGAGAGTTATTAATATTGGAACTTTTCGTACGAAAAAAATGAGAATTTCAGCACGATCTGAGTCGATAAAACTTTTCAGCAGTTTGTACAATGTTTGTAAGATGATTCGAAGCGTGCGAATTTCCATTAATAAAATACGGTAAGCAGTTGAAAAAGTTATAAAAAAACATTTATTAAACAAAAACATTGTTTTTTTATATTATAATGAGTCAGCTACTCAATACTCAAATGGCATAAAATCACCTTTCTTTTTTTCTTTATTCACACATCTGCTAGCTAATTTGTAGAACCATCTTATTCACAAATCAAAGAAACAGCTATGAGAAAATTTCCTCTTGGATAAAAACAGACTAATTTTTATGTGATTTTTGTTCCCAATGTTCACAACCCAGGTGAACAATGTATGGCCTTCGCCTATCTTCGCTGTTTTTTCATTTCATCATCATTTATTAACTTTTTATTAACTCGGTGCTTCTATCACCAAGTGCATCCTCGGCAAAAATTTCTATCTACTGGCCTAACCAGAAATGATGAATATTAACTGCTGTCTTTTTTCCTCATTTCTTTTTAAATTTTTAAATGATTTTAACTAACATGTCATTGGTATTAATTATATATTAAGTATATTAAAAAAATATTAAATAAATGTTTGGGAGCGATTAAATCGTTTCCATCAATCTAAACGCATATAAACTCTCACATATTCATCCTACGAATGTTACAATCTTATGAACACTGTAATTTATAGATAGGAAAGCAGTGAATGAATAATTAGTCATAAAATGAAGAAATAAGACAACAGTACCACAAAATAAGGTGAATAGAAAATGCACATACCAAATAACTAAATCCAAAATTTTACCTCACCAGAATATATAAATATGAACGGGAGGAGGAATAAAACTTCCATTTATACAAACAAAAGGGATTTGTCTAAAGAAAACTTGGAGTTGGAGAACCATTTATATATTATAGGTATTATCATCTTTAATCATCTTTTTTCAAGAAATGATCGTTAAAACAACAAGGTTAATGATTAGAATACAAAAATGAGGCGGAATAATTAAAAATGAGGTTAAGCCAAGTATACAAACAGGCCAGTTAAGTATAAAATATTTTATATAAAAGTATATAAAAGTATACAACCAGAAAACAGGCTAGCCTTATAGCATTCCAGGTTTGACGGAAGCATAATAGGACAAATTATCATCAAATTCTATGGCTTATTTTCTATACAGTAGATAAAACCTATGCAAGAATTGAGTAATTCTTTTATAACTATATTAGAAATAATAAGTGATAGAATGCAAAATCATAACGAAAATATACAAATCTGAAATTGGACAATAAATAGGATTAATCAATAAAAATAAAACAATTTAATCAATTTTCCCCTTTTTATCAAATATTGAATTGATCACTATGGCTAGAATACATAAAAATACAACAAAAAATGTTACTACGAATATAATAGTTTGACTTTCATAGTTTCCTGTTGGGACAGATAATGTGACCTTATTTGAAAATGTTGACTTAAGAAATATCCAGTTGCATTTTTGGGAAGTTTTGCAGTCACAAGGAGCCTGGAAAAATAGAAATTCTGAGAATAATTTTTTCATATTGATGAAAATATTTTCATAATTTACTATTCCCATCTCGCAAATTTGTATAAAAATTTTATATTACACCTTTTTGATCCATTTTGTACATGAGCCATTGTTCAAAAATGTATCATTATTTTCACATCGAATTAAAATTTTTGGTGATTGTAGAGTCACATTTGCACCTAAAATTTTCTTGTTCAATTCCTATAGAACAGCCTTGAATAAGAAAATGAAACGTTATTTTCCTATATAAGACATAACTATAGGAGAAAATAGCCGTATCACCGTAGGGCGCCAGTCCCTGAAGGTGCATTTATTATTACAAAATCCGAACGGGTGTTGAGGATCTAATTCTCTTATTTTTAAGAAGTAAAATAAAATTTCCTTACTTGCATTTGAAGCCCGATGATAGCGAATGTGAAAGGGAAAAGCAAATTCTTCGTGATAGATGAAATTTTTTCGAAGAACCTTATTCGAGCAAACATAAACAACTTCATCTTTGGAAGCCTCTCGTGCTGCTTCAATATCGAAATGTTTTTCCGCTATTCTATACGAAGAAATTTGTGGTAAACTGAAATCAATCACCTTATCAGGTTGAAAAATGTAAAAATGTAAAAATCAAGCATACATAATGCATAAATTAATTAATAGCACCAAAGAACTAAATAAATGAGAATTTCTACGTATCATAGTCGACATATGCTCCAGCAGGAATAACGAAGCGATAGCTCAGATGGCAATTGATAAATCGATTCAAACTTCCTAGCGATGTGTTGACAAATAGTCGGCGATGCAGACCTAATCCCAACACCTGGAAAGATAAAAACATTATTGTTGAACCTAAAGAACCAAATTAAAAAATGATTTTTCCCTTCAGTCCGACTCGATATCAGTCCTGTGAATAACGTTAAATATACTAATTTGTGAAAAACTCCATAGCGTTTGATGCTCGATAGAGAAAAATCTTAGAGACAACCACCACCACCAAAAGAATGACCATAAGTTACAAACATTAGCCATCAAAATCCGATGGCATTACACGCCAACGAAACGAAACTATCAAAAAATTTACTTTAATATGAGATTGCCTCGTTGTAATCGCGTTGATCCATTGGCATTCTGAACATTCACCAACGTTGTAAGAAATAATGATAAGCGTTAAAAAATTCCGAAAAAAGACGAGCATATACCATCTATTTTAAACGAAAATTCGCTGCTGTAATTATTTTTATAAATATAAATTTAGAAGAAAAATCCGACTATGCAACTTTTGAAAAGCTCTTTGGTTCTCTTTGGTTCTAATAGAGAGGAAAAATGCTTGAGAAGATCAAAGCAGATACCAAAACGGTCGCGAATAAGGCGAATAGTCGACAGTTGCAAAAAAAAATATTCGCATTTGAAACAGAATTTTTTAGTAATTTAGCAAAAACCAAGGGCAAATACAAATTATACAACATGGTGCAAATAAACTTATAGATAACTATAGAAACATTGAGAAAATAAAGAGATGACTTTTAAAACTCGAGACTTATCGATAAGCTAGCTCACTGATGCGGGATCACTGGTGATTAAGGCGTAGAACTTCTGCAAGCACTGTTCACAGCTTTTTAGGCTTAAACTCGATTGTTGATGGCCACTTGCGTTTTTGCGTTTTCAACTCCTTTTCTGATAAGAACCATCTAAATGATCAAAGCAACCAAAGCAGATATGCTTAGTGTTGTTGAAAGGTTCGAATGAAAAAAAGTCGCACGAAAATTTAAAAAATAGAACCTTTGGAATTTTATAGTCTAACAAAATTAGAGCGAAAATTGTAGAATCTGTAAATTTCATCGCAAAAATATTAGAGGTAACAATATGGAAAAATAGCATAAAATAGTAATATAAAGTAGTAATTTGCATCCGAGGAGTAACAAAAAAATTCCAATGAAAATAATAAAATAAATATAAAAATACTAATTAACAATTAAATATAAATATAAATAGAATATTAAATTATAGTACAGCAAAATAGACAAATAGCCAAAATAAAACAAATAGAAAAAATAATTCATCCATTTTTTTCATTCATTCAAAATGCTCAAATACAACAAACACGAATATTTCAAGCATAAATTTCAAGTATGAATATTTAACATAGAATAGAATATTTCATATAGATGAAATAAAGAAGCATATTTATTTTTATTATAGGATTTTTATTAAAAACAAAAAACCTCATCGTGACGAAGGAAATAAAAAAAAGATAAAATTGATAACGAAATAACTGCATAGATTAATAATATTGAATGATTAATATTGATATTGAATGTCGAAATTAAGATAAATTTGCGCGATGTTTTAGAAATCTCCCGTAATCTGCAGGAAGAGGAAGGGAGTATGATAGCAAATCGGTTTAATAATAATTATGAGGAAGAATGCTTAGCCGAGATATTAGTGGCTCTTAACGGAAGAAGCATTAAGAAGGCATTTAAACAGCACAACCACGAATGTGAAAGGGCTTGAGATAACTGTAACATAATGAAAGAATAAATTGGAGTCGAATGCGAAAGAAAACTTGATAAGGCCGCAGCTAAACAAGCATAAATGAGTTCTAAAGAAATGCTACCACTGGATTATGATAAAAAGCCCAGTGAAATTCGACCACAGGAAAATAACTGGGTATCACAGGATATGAGAGGACGTCATGAAAAAATGGGGAATCCAAAAATAAAAATAGGAATTAAGTGTCACAGTGTGATGAAAAAACAGCATAATGGAATCTAATTCTGCAGTGATACAGAAAAACCAATAAGCATTAAGTATGGTACAAAAAAGAATTATAAGAAAACTGAAATAGAATGGAACTTTGGAACCATCAAGGAGTTCCACGTGTTTCAAAAAATTACGCAAAATCAGATGAAAAGAGAAAACAACAAATTCTTATAGAGATATTTGGGCATTGCACGTTGAGCTTTTAAACTTTCATATGATGTTTTGCTTCTGAAGTTATATTTGTTATATTTGAAGAGTCAGTGGACTGAAGATTAGCAGTGCTTGAACTGCTAGCAGCGTTACTCTAAATATATAAATATAATTATCTAAATATAATCTGTCACCACACTTCCTTCGCAATGATAGTTATGGATTTTATAGGTTTTTAAAAATTATAGATTTTAACACTGCAAATTTTTTTTCAGTCAGTTCACTTAATTAGATAATTAAAAATTTCAATTAAAAAATAAAATATACTTCAAAATATGAATTCACTTGCTCCGAAATGGATAAAACTTGGGAAATATCCGGGCGCTTACAAGGATCCGAAGAAATACAATGAGCAATCAAATTACGCAACTGAAAATTTAAAATTAATTCCATTTCTTTCGATAACCAGAAAATTTTGGAAATTGCTCAAGTTATTAGAGCTATAAATTTGATATCCATCATTTAATCTAATATTAATAAAAAAAGTCCGATTTTTACTTGCTGTGAGTAAATATCTGCTGGAAGAGGAGGATATTCACCACTTTCGATTTTTTTACAAAGTGAATAAAGATTCATTTTATCGCCATAAAACGGAGGTTGGAGAGCAGCCATCTATAAAAAAATCATTCCTAAAATTGAGAAAATCTAGCAAAGATATATTCTGAAAAAGTAAAAAATAAGTAGAATTATATAAAAAGTAGAATTTTTCAATTATTGTGAAAATAATTCTTGCATAAATGTTGGAAACAAAATTGTCGAACCTCATATAATAAACATCCAACACTCCATAAATCTGATTTAAAATTATATCCATCTTCTTGAATTCTTTCTGGACTCATGTAATAAGGCGTCCCAACTAACGAATGTGCTGCTGTTGTTTTTGAACTGAAAAACCTTCCAAGTCCTAAATCTCCGAGTTTAACTATTCCATCAGCTGTTATAAAAACATTTGCAGGTTTAATATCTGAAAAAAAGAACAAAATTTAAGAAAGAGGCAGAATTGCTTTGAAATTAAATGCAAAAGACGAACCAAAAAAAAAATATAATACTATAACTAATATAATTATCAATTATTAGATATTAATAATGTCAATATTACCAATATTAATAACTAAAATAATTATTAATAAAAAAACTAATTGTATAAATAAAGTACGATATAATCATGTTTTTATCCATTTATAAACATCGGAATGTGCAAAAACAAGCCTTTTATGACTAAAACTTTTTATTATCTCTACTCACTTCAACAAATGCTTGATCTTTACTACGAAAATTTCATTTTTTTACAATATTTTTGGACAAAAATAGAACAACAAAAATACTAAAAATACTAAAATACGGAAAAACTGCGAGGAATGAGGGCTACAAAACGACAAAAAACAAAAGTACAACAAAAAACGACAAATTCAAAAACTATTTTGAGGCTGGCCTATGTTTCTTATTGTCTTCTTTGCGACTCCTATTCCATGCATCTTTTTATCGAATCCTTTTTGAGCCATGAAAGGTTCATGTTTTTTGTTACTTTAAATTATTTATTGTTGATGCCGCCCGAATTTTTTTCGATTTATTGTTAATGCTTTATTGCCACTTTCTTGCTGTGTATTTGTCTTATCAACACTTATTAATTCTTGTTGACTGTGTTGATAAGCCAATTTAATTGATAACTTGATTTGCTCGATTCCTTATTTTTGATTTTTACGACCTCAATTAGAATTTACCGCGAAAAAGATGATCTTAATAAATGAAAGAATATAGGAACTTTTTTTGGGGTTACGGAGACATTAAATATAAGCTGGAGGATACGAAAAAGTTTCAGTAGGAACACCAATATTTCTCAGTTTAAGGCCTTGGTGCATTTTTCTTCGGAAATCCACACATATTGCCTTATAGATGAATTTTTAATATTCTGCCACGAAACAGTTGAAAACAGTTTTATTTATTTTATTGAAGAAGGAGAGATTACCTCGATGCATTATTCTTTTCGAATGCATATGGTCAAGTGCACGGACGATCTGCACGAAATACTTCCAAATTGTACGCTCGGGAATTAAACGACGATTTTTTTTAAAATGCTATAATTTATTAATATTGGAAAAATACAACAATACAACATATATACTGGATAACTGGAAAATACAACAATTTTAAATAATTATGAACTTAAAGCGATGTCTAAAGATATGTTATATGTTATTTAAAACTTATTGACGGATATATAAATAAATATCTCACCTGATAAGATAAATAGAACAAAAATAAGATAAAGTAGAAAGAACCCTAATCATTCGACTAAGATCACCGGCATCCGCTAATTCAAGTACGATATTCAACTGATCGTTTTCAATGAATGAGGCATAATATCTAATAATATTGACATGATTAAGTTGCTTCAGCAAGTCGATTTCTTTGATGCAATCTTGACGAGCTTTCGAATCTACCATATCGTGCACCTGAATGGTTCTGAATTTAATAAGTCATTTTTTCTCATAAAATTTTTTCTATATTTATTAAATATTTATTATATACTTACAATAAATAGAACTATTCGGCGATTTAAAAAGATGCTTTGCCATTTTTTCAGATTTCTTTCAAGATTTAAAACTAAAACAATAGTAAATTGCCAGAATTATTTGCATAATAATTGTAATAATTATAATAGTTCTAACATGAAATTTAAACGATTACATTCATATCATTTTTTTCTTAAAAAAAATTTCATTATGAATAGAACATCACTTACAAGCAATTTTTTAAGCGCTACCAAACGATTGTCTTCCTTACAACGAGCACGAAAAACTTCCGAAAATTGTCCTTTACCGATTTTTTTCTCGATTTCAAAAACGCTTAAATTACCATAACGTTGAGCTAATTCTTTTTCGGACATCTAAAAATCCAAAATTTTTGATTGCGCAGATGCAGCAAAATACATTACAATGCGTACATATCGCGAAAAAATTGGCAGAAATCAGTAGAAGTAATGTATCTCACCTAGCGAAACATTTCTTTTCATTCAACTCTTACACGGAAAAAGAACTCGATTTGTCGAAATAGGATTAATTTCATACTGCGCGGCCTTTTGTCAAATTGACAAACACGAGAAAATTAGACAAAAAATGATCAAATGAAAATGACAAAATAAGTAAGTCTAAGACGAATTCTTACCTCATATCACATCAATAGCTTCCTTGACATAAAACCATATTCACCCAATTCACCGAAATTTACCCACGGAAATTCGGAATATTTTATTAAACTAAGAAATTTTTCATAGAGGCACCGTCTATTGCTTTGAATTTTCCCACTTCCTGAGAAACGCCGCCGGAGGCGAGCAAAATCCACGCAAAACGAAAATATTTCCCACTAATTCACGAGTGTGACTGATTCAGTTTTCACCGAAAATTTTATTACAAAAAGTTAGAAAGAAGTAAATAAAGAGAAAAAGAAGAAAAGGTACGTATGCATGATCACTTCAGTCATCGATACAATAAGAATTCCTACAAATTCCTTTTTTTTTTGAGAATTCCTGAAATTAATGGCGAAATAAATCAAAAAGAAGAGAAAAATATAAAAAATAGTATTTCGTCCAACCTTCGCCAAAATAAAAAAAATACCAGCACGTCACCATTGGAAACCAAGCGAACAAATTTTGCCAAACATTATCTGCAAAATCTAAATCGAATAATAAAAATGGTAAATCACGAAAAGCGACGGGAAATTTCTGAAACTCGAAGACGAACACTTCTCAATCCTGCATTTATTTCCATTTCATAAGACTTTATCAGAAATTTCGAAAATATTTTTTCAAATATTTTCTACATTCCTTCGCAAATTTCAGATTTCTTTTAACGAAAACTATAACTAATTTCACAAATTTTAATAGGAAAAAATTCGAATAAACTTGGCATTTGTAGATTTTCCTATAAAAAAAATCGTAAAACGAAAATTCTTAACATTAAATTTTTTATGAAATTATAAAAATTTTCATTATCGAAAAAAAGCAAAATTTTAATTAGAACTAAACAAGATATAAAGACATCAATGTTCAGATGAAAAATTTAGAAAAACATTAAAAATGGAGAATTAACGGAGGTTTTTATTATTTTATTTTTTATTTTATTATTTTTTTTAAAACATGAAAAAAGAAATAATTTCAGGTAATAGAATAAAGTCTATGTAAAGAAAAATGAAAATAAATAATAAAAAATAGTAAGAAAGAAACATAGCGATAATAAAAATACGAAAAAAACAAAGGACGGACCATAATTGTTAGAAAAATTAAGTCGCATTAACTGAATAATGGAGGAATAGCGTCGTACGCTGCTAAATGACTCACTTTCAGTCCAATGAAATGAATAAAGCTATGATTATGGTCCGAAATTCTGATGAGCTGACGATTTTTCCGCATAAGTTTCGACTCCCTAATTTTGTTAATCGAAAGCTTAATCGAAATCGAAATTTTTTATCAAATTGAACCTTTGTGAATCAATGATGACAACATATCCTTAGCTATAATCAACGATACATTATTAAGAAAAGGTTTTAGACGTGAAAATGATTTTTTTGCCATAAATATTTCTCCATTACGAAGTGAAAGAATAAAATCATAAAAATTTAAAAATTGCTCAGCGGTTAAACATGAATCTTTTAAAGGATATTTATTCCATGGAGCTCCATCAAATTCAGATGATCGCGACGTAAAATTGTTGTCAATTGATATCGATTCATCCTCATCCGATGCTTTGCAAATGCTACTAGAAGCTTCTTCTTGGGAATTATAGCCTTTAACTTTTTCTTCACCATTATTCATTGATTGCTTGCTGAATTCTTCGAAGAAACTCTCGCTATACATAGACAATAAAAATCGATGACGTGCAGATATGTCATTGCTCTAAAACAGTCAAACCAGAAATGGTAAATATAAAAATAAATCAAAATTTAAACATCAATAATTTTTTTTACCTTTCAATACAAATAACATGTAATAACATTCACGAAATTCGAAGGATCAACTCAATTTACATTTAAATATAAAAATTTTATGAGAAATTTATATTTGTTTATAACATATTTATGATAAAAAAATATAACTTTGAAACTTTTAAAAATATAAAAGAACCTTAATTTTCAAGAGAAGAAGCACAGTAGTAATTTCACAGTCTTTTAAAAGATCTTTTCCAGAAGCAAATCTATAAAAGTAAACAAAAGACTACTAATTTTTATTATAATTATATATGAAATGGAGCCTAAGCGCGAAAATAAAAAATTCATTGACTTTACGTATTATAGTTTTTGGAAATATAGACAATAAAAGAAGGCTAAAAAACGAAAAACCTTGGGTCAGCAACATTTTTCATTTGAGCTGTCCAAAGTTCATCTAAAGTCGTCAGTGCATCTGAATAATATTTCAATTTACATTGACATTCAGCTAATTTTAAAAGAGCGGCAATTCGACTGTTGTGTTCGACTTCTAACAAGCGAGAACCTTAAACTTTACAAATATTCGACACCATTTAACTTCCACCTGAGTATTTACATATGTTCCAGAAAAGGCGAAGTAAAACTGAATAAAATTTTGCTTTTATATATTGGGTTTTTGAAAAATAAAATTATTTTTAAAATCTAAAATAATATTGTGAGGTATAATAAATCAAACGAACCTCGATCTAGATATTTAAGTGCTAAATGAGGTTTGCCGAATCCATCAAGTGCATGACCTACTTCCATAGAATGTAATCCAGCGAGCCAAACACCACTGTGGTCAAGTATAAGTTTCGTTGCTTTATTGTAACAATCTTGCATAAGATTTAAATTCTCCGAATATACTAAAACATGAGAATTATATTAGCAAATAACAAATGCTCTTACAAATACTTTTCGACCATTCAACCTCTTCCTTTAAAGATAGTAAATTATTATTAACCACTCATCACCAAATGATTCACCGACGAAAAGGCTTTAACGAAGCAGTTGGGAAAAAAATGACAACTTTATTATTTAAATGAGCACTTACACATTGAACACATACTATCAGCTTTATGTTCAGCCTGTTTGAAATATCGAGCAGCTTTTAAAAGTCGACTATATTGCATACTCCAGTTTCCTAAGGTTTCATGTATTTTTGCCATCTGAATATTGCATAATCCTGCATAATGCTCGAATTCTTCATCTCTATAACATAACACTTCACAAATCACATTTGAAAAAAGAATTACGAGAGAAGCTAACAATAGGACTATTGTATAAATGAAAATTGAAACTCACTGAAATCGCAGTGCTAAATTCTCGTATTCTGCAAGCGCTTGAGCGTAATTTGGTTTTTTCAAAAATTTTTTCTTCGTTGACTCAAATATTGCTTTGTAATCTTGCCATGGATCTCGATATGTTTCACACATTTAAAATGCCACCGGTATCATAACTATTAATTAAAAAACTTGGTTTTTAGACGTGATCAATACTTCGATGATAAGCTAAAAAATATGGCAAAAAGGAGAAATCCTTACCAAGAAAAAAACAATCGTTCAACTTATACCAAATTTATCTTTAACGAAATGGTTTTATAAAAGTCCATTCGATCACAAAATATGAGAATGGAATATTAATATATTATCGTAATCGTCTGTCTCAACACGAATATTAACATTTGCAATAAATAGAAAAAATAAATACCAGCATATACAGTCATAAGTTGAACAAGCAACAGATTTATAAATTCACAATAAACCATTTCTAATTTTTAAATTTAAATCTGAAGAAATAATTTTTAAATTGATATTTACAAAAAATTTCAGAAAAAAGATAATGTAGATAAAAAATGGCTATATGCTTATAATCGAACCAATTCCAGAAAATGCCTCTCACTGTATTAAAATTCAAGCGAATTTTTCAAAGAAAATTAGTATTAGTTCTAAATATAAAAATGAAATGGTTTATAGTGAATTTATTACTCGCATTGCTCGAAAAAAAATTTGGCTATTGAAACTAGCACATATCAATGTTTTAAAGAAAAATGGTCATTTAGCTCCTTATCAATATCAACAATAATTGATGTTAAGTCTGCGCGAGCCGCATCATATCGAGATATATTTTCGTCGATTTTCTTTTCTGCTTGTTCCTCAGCTCTCAAAATATTATTCCTTTATTGTTATTATTTTAAAAATCAAAAAAAAATCAAAGTAAAAAAAGCATAATTTAAGAAATATTAAATTGTCAATTATAGAGAATGTTAAAGAAATAAAGAAAATCCAATTTTATTCAAATTCAATAATAATACTGTCAATATTGATACGGACGCCTACCAATTTTGAAGGCGAAAACAGCAGTACCTTCATCGACTTATGGTACTTTTAAAAGCAAAATATAATTAAAAATAAGTTTAAAAAACTAACAAACGAATCGCATAACTTAAGAAATTAAAATCATGCAATATAAGAAATTCTCTTAAATCATGTGTTAATTTCAATAATTCATCAGAAGCACGAACCTGCAAAATGCGTCTAAAATGAATTAAAATTGAAGCAGAAATAGGAATCGGAAACTTTCTAGATTTTTTCAAAAATCTGAAAAAAAATTCACCATGAGTGCTGCCCTAGTAACCATCTCATTCTTTAGTGTATAATATTCGGTCATTCTTCCCATTGGATTTTTATGTGCTGCATCATCCATGTTTATCTGAAGTTGAGTAAATAAAATTAAATTAAATTTGGAGAAATAATAAAAATAATAAGCAATAGAGTTTTTTAGATTTTTTATGCGCCATAAAGTGGTCAATCAAATGATAAACCAAAGTAAAAGTGATAAGCATTTTAAATCTTGAAAATAAAAATAACTGATAAAATCATGTGTACTGTAGAAGAAGAAACATCGACTTTCGAAAGTTTTTATTAAATATTTGATTGGTTCAAAAATTACCTACAAATCCACAAGAACTATAGCAAGATTATATATTCCTCATTCTATATTTTTTCATTCTTTTGTTCTTATTAATGAATAATCCTCATCATACTTGATGTTCACTTAATGAAGACTTCCATTCATTCAACAACTGATAAAATAAACTGATAAACTGATAAAATCTCCATGTATTTCGTAACTGCAGCCCTATAATTTCCTGTTATCTTTCGGCATAAAATTCCCCCCAGTATAAAAGAGTTTTGTTTCATTTCCGAGGCGTCAGATTCAATTTCGTCATTCTGAATGATCAGATGTCCCTATCTATCTTGTTTATCATCATCCACCTTTAGGAAATGATCTTGCTTTGCTTTACTCGGAGTCTCCAAATCGTGAAAACTGAGATGCATCAAATGGAAATTGATGAACCCTTGAGGAAACTCTGTTAACCTCTGAACCACCAACATATTCCCACAGATATTAGTGGTGTAATACGGAAGCAACCACTTCACTCCACTGCGCCACCCAACCACTAATCAATTTTCTCAAAACATTATCATAATCGATTTGAGAATGAAAACCCTTGGTGGAAAAAATCTCATTCTCATTTTCACTTTGATAAAATAATCGCCTTTAATAATCGCTTTTAATAAATAATAAACGAAGAGATTCTCGTTAAATGACGAATAAAAGGCAAAAAAACCTTAGCAGCCGACACGATATTGACAAAGTTATCATTCAAGGATTTAATGTTATCTTTGAGTCGCCTTTTATATTCTTGAATAATGAGTGCTTTCGTTGCTGTTGACCGACTGCTTCTTTTCGCTGACAATGATGTTGACGCTGACATTTGACCTTAAATATTTAATAAAAAAATTTTATGTTCCTCAGAGAAAAATAGTACAATTCTTTCACCTTTTTTTTAACGATTTTACGAATCAATTAAAGTGAAAATTCAAATTTAAAAAAGATTGAAATTTTTCAATAATTTAGTTTGTTCAATAAACTAAGTGAAATAAATATTTTATATATTTTTAAATATTTTATATAATATAACATTTTAAATAGTATTTTAAATATTTTATAATATTTTAAATAAATATTGTTTACGGCGAATACAAGCAGTTGGAACGCTGACGAAAAGGTTTGTGGAGGACAGCCGGACGAGTATCATTACCTGCGCGGGACTGCACAACTTTGAAGAGATTCAGCAGATTCACTCGCCCGTTCTTTATTTCAGCTTACAAAACACCCAAATAACTCAGTTTTCTCCACCCTAATGGAACTAAATATTCCCGACAAAAGAAATGGTCGAAAATCGCGGGGAGAAAAACCAATAGAATCACTTCTTGACAAGGCCAAAACTATTCAGAAAGAGCAATCACTCTCCGTTATTCAATTAATCACCTGCCAGTCACCCATGTTTGTTTTGCTTCTGAAGATAAGCGTTCTTTCTCTATTAATAAAAACGACTGGCCACTGCTATAATTCTTTGACTGCGAGCAAATGACAGATGAGCATTTGATCAACTGTTACAAAAATAATCTGCGGTTAATAGAACCTTAAAACAATCACCACAACACCAACAGAACCTTAAAGCAATCACCAACACTATCAATAAATCTAATCAGACGGAACATTATCAATAAATCTAATCAGACGGGCCGAATTATTAACTTTGCAGTCGTGAAACATTTGGCCACTTTCGGCTATCTGCTAAAACTCGGATATTGAGTGGTCGTAATAAATGAAAGTGCTTAGTCTTCACTGTTTCTGCTCCAGAGGATTTTTCGAAAAAAAAAAAAACCATTTTGCAAATGGGGATGGCAAATTTGAGATGCATTATCCAAATTTCCAGTTAGCTCATTAAGCTCCCATCAATCAACCGGTTTTAATTCAGTTTGCATAATGGCATTTTCCAGTGGACATCACTTAGGGATAGAAGCGAGTCACCAGTGTCGTTGCCTAAGTCAGTGCTCTGCCAGTTGAAGTTGAAGTAAGCTGGGACAAACCTGTCATTAATTTTTAGCATCAAATCTCGCCAATTCGTTGAACTTCTCGTTTCTGGCTGCTGTAGTGATTTTTATTTAAATTATTCTTTTAACACCACTCACCGATTATTGTTTGGCTTACTTCGTTGACTGCAAAGGTGGCACCTTTTCGGCAGAGAGGCATTTTTACACTCCCTTCGACATTCCTACTTTGTGGATCCATTGCGATTCGCACAGCAACTGAGATAACATTTCATTCAATAACGAAACATATTAAAGCTTAAAAGCCAGAAGTAACTTTTATTCAAATGATACTTGAGTCATTCCGACGTAAAATAACATATATTTATTTACAGTATTAGGTTGAATGGCCGAGTCGCTCAATAGTAGCACTAGCTTCCTGCTTGTTGACAAGCAGGGATTCGCATTTTCTCCCTACCAGTAGTAAATCTGTAATTTGAAAATTCGTTTGTTGCCCAATTACTTCTTCTTCTATTCTATCGTTGGTAAAGATTTTTAATTGCATTAACAGATAACTATCCAGGAAACGAACACAGCCAACAGCTATTTGCAATATTTCACAGATTTATCGAATGTGAGAGGAAAAAATTCGATTATTTTTTTTTGAAATTTTTTACTTCAAATTGGAATTTTGACCATGAATTTCATGAAAAACTCTATACAAAAATTTTTTGCCATAATCAGATGGTTTATCAGTTAAATTTAGTAGCAAATTCATTGATCATAACGAATTTTATTCGATATTATCAGTTCAATCCAAGTGTTTGCCTATTATACATTGCAAATCTTCTGAGACATGGAATTAGAATTTTGATAAAATTTTTTTAATTTCTCTTCAAAGCACCATAAAAATAGTTTATATTACCGCTCCGATTTATATCAATACATTTTTTCAAAGAGCACCATTTTCGCTTAGACGTGTTCCCTGGGACTTGTCGGAGCAACCAAATTTTGCTAGCGAATCAATTGGCGATAGGAGTGGAGTGGAGATCGCATCTATCTTCGTTCAAATACCACTTGCATAAATCATGTTATCACAGAGCGCCGCCTACGCTGGTTAGGGCACATTCTCCGTCGTCCACCACAGGAATTGACGCATATTTCATTATTTGCTAAACCGTATGATGGATGGCGTCAAAAGCGAGGTGGGCCAATCAAGACCTTGTCTGATACGGTCAGGAAAGATTTTGAACGTATAGGTGGACCAGCAATATATGGACTTAGACGATGGAAAAAGGAATGGCTTCCATTACTGTCGACGATGGCATCAGACCGCGCCGCTTGGAAGCGTCTTACCCTTGTAGCCGTTGAAGCCAGCCTAACCAGTAATGGTGAGAGCACCAGTAATGCTGTTAGAAGAAGAAGTAAGACATAGTTGAGATTTTCCTCAACTGCAATATTTCATTAGTCGAGTTAATAGCAAGAGCTAGAGCGAGATCGAAGTTTTTTGAGTTACGAAACGTTTAAACATCTCCGCTAAAAAGCGAAAACCGAATAGTTCTCTACATAAGAATAGTTCTCTCCGCTGAAAAATTTTGGTGACTAATAATTAATTACGATAATTTATTATATTTAATCCTTGTATTATATTTATTTCTTTGACCGTTTCTAGCTTTTCTCATCACCAAAAATCACCTACGAACCTGTACTTCTCCTTTTGCTAATATTTTTATTTGCTGATTTTTTGCTTTTTGGCATTTATCATCGATAGCTTCATTGCACAAGAAAATTCACATATTTTGATTTCATCGCCACAACTGCCCTTTTAGCCTTTCTAAAATTAAATATATAACACTACAACTATTTTTAATTTAAGGTTTTGTGGTGAACTCTCACTAATAGTGAAAATTATAAATTGAATTTTATAAATATACAAAAGAAAATGGTTTCTGATGAATATTACCATTATCATTTATCATACAATTTAAACATTTGCTTTATTAGTTGCTAAATATTAGAAATTAATGTATTTGAAAGTAAAGGCTCATTTGCTATAGACAGTAAGGATGGAGGTTCTTATTTTTAACGACAACAATAGAATAATGTAAACTCTCATCAAAAGAGAAACCGAACCCATGCTGGATCCTAATAGGACCAACATAGGACCTACAAGATCAACCAGTCTTCTAGCTGCATTGCTTAACGATTACCACTCAGCGCATTATGTATGTATTCCTCGGTCAATTGCTCGCCAATGTAAGACGCGGCATTGACTTCACCTTAAATTAATTACTAAAAGACATGGGAAAATGAGGTAGCTAAAGTTCCTGCGGCTGTAAGGCCAACAGAAAACCCTTCGGTTTCAGTTTTGTTCAAAAAAATGTGCTAACAGTGGACCCATCGAATCAAAACAACAGAAGAAGCGGGGATTTTTTGTTGCTTCTGATGAAATGCCAAATGCCTTTAATTTCTAAATGCTCTCTCTTGTACAATAGGATCCTAAGGAAAATATAAGTAAGTGACTATTTATAAGTGACCTGGGAAGAGGAAATTTAAACTGTGGCTTTCGTGATAAAGAAATCTTATGAAACGAAAGGGAGTTCCATAAAGTTGGTGGAATGAAAACCTGAAAACCATTCAGTATTCAGCATTGTCAAGCATTGGCCAAGATAATTAGGCGATCATCTGAATGTACCATCTGGTCAATGTTCAGCAATGCAGAAACAACTTCTACAGCAAACCTGTGGGATAAAAATTCAAAAATACGCATTTTTAAGAAGTCAAACAAAGAATATATATTGTTTCGAATTCGACTTAATTCTCTGAAACAGCGATTAAACTTTAGATTAATTTATAATCTACTAAGTAATGGAACTCCCTGCCCTGACACTTCCACTCCTCCTTTACTCCCACCTTCCCTCCTCCCCCCTCCGCCCCCCTCTTTATCTCCCCCAGTTTCCATCTTGAAAAACTTAGCAACATTTGAGAATCCAATAGAAAGTATCGGCCACACCTAGTTGACAATACTAAAGCTCGTACTGAGCGCGGCTTCCATATTTTTTTTATGGTCTTTTTTTTGCCCAGGCAAATTTATTTCCAGAAGATTGGAATTGTTGTTGAGGGTCGGTAATTGCCTATCGTGTTAGCGATTGTTACCTGTGTTAGTGGTGTCCAACTTGGACCATAAAAATTTTAACCTATCGCCGTAAATTTATTATTTTTGTCGAGATCGTTCAGAAAAAATGCTAAATGCATTTCATTTTTTTTTAATCGTCTTAAAAAAATTAAGTCGAAAAATATCGATATCATCATTACTTTCATCGTTAATTTCGTGATAAATCATTTGTCCTTATCATCGTTTTAATCAGTGCCGTTGTTTGTTTGTTTTTTCTTGCATATTTCTTTATTGCTTTTCGAATTTATTTAATCGATTTTAGTCGCTTTTATCAAAAATGATAAGGATAAACGCGAAGGAAATGCGATAGGCGCTTTTGCATGCGATATGATTTTCAACAAGTATAGTATGACACGCCGCAATGACCGATTCGGCGCCTCTCGTTCGCTTCGAAGTCCTTGCGATGAAGGTTTTCTCTTTCAGTTGTTTTTCGAATTTTTTGCTGATTCATTGATAAGATCGGTGAACGAACGTTCTATGTTGGTCTGTTGTTGGTTTTTACTTGTGAATGTCGAAATTTGGTTTTTTTTTCTAAAAATCGATTTGGTGTATTTTTATTTTTTTCTTATTTTATTCATATTTTTTTATATATTTTTCTCTTCTTTGATTTTTTGCAATTTCAGATGATTCAAACAATAGAAATGCAACATTCGATAGCGACAAATCTCCGGAAAGACCCATTCAGGTTTGCTTTGTTTTTTCCGCCTTCGCCTATTTGTTTTTTCGTTGTATAAGCCATTAACCTGAATCCAACTTCAATTTCAAACCTAATATCTAAGGTTAAACTCATTCAACAAGAGAAGAGAACTGCTACAACTTAGATTTGCAATTTGCGAATCTCAATTTTCCAGTTTTTCTCGTTTTTCTCTCTTTTTCTTCTTTTTTTTTCGCTATTTTTTATCTTTTTATTGAAAATTATCTCGACTTTATCACATTTCATTAAATTATAAATTTGCTAGCAATCTAAATATTTTCTATTTACTATATTTTTTTGATTATTTATGTATATTTGCATGTTTTTGTGTTTCCATTAAATAAATACCGTTATAAATTATCGCATCAACAAAATAGGCTTTGGCTAGGCTTTAGGCTTAGGCTATAACGAATAATTTTTTTAAAGCATAATTTTGTAATTCCTCATAACTAATTTATTTCTTATAACGCTTTAAATTATTTTTTTCTTCATTTTTAATACGAATCGTTACGATAAGTTGCTTTTTTAAAAAAATATTCCCAAACATTTACTAATTGAAATTTTGCATGAAATTAAATTTAGATAGATGGATTTCGAAAAAATATTTTTTAGGTCACTGAGGCGACATCAAATAGAATGGAACGCGAAAAACAGATGAGGGACTTATATTCGAGGTTGGATAGTAATAATGATGGAACTATTGATATGAGGGATCTACTATATAGTCTTCATCATGAGAAGCCTCACATACCACGTAACCTTGCTAAAGTAATATATATTTAATAATTCTTCCTTTTTTGCAAATTCTTTGAAAAATTTTGATATTTTACTAGCGTTTGAAAAATTACTTGAATTCGTACTGAAACATTTAGCAGTATATGAATGTGAATTCAAAATAAAAATAAAATAATTCAAATACTTCGTCTTATAGGATTTATTTGATCGCATGGATACAGCTGGTAATGAAAAAATTCATTTCGCAGAATTTATGAATTATGTCACTGAACACGAAAAGCGGTTGGAATTTATATTTAGTGACTTGGATCGTAATAAAGATGGTAATGAATTCAGTTTATAGGTGTTAGATGAATACTTTTCCTTTAAATTCATATTTATAGCTCTTCTAAATGTTTTTAACTGTTTTGAATCTTTAGGATTTTGGTATTTTTATATGCAGAAATGGTAAAGCAGAGAAGAAAAGAAAAAAATTTTTAATTATTTTATTATAACTGACAGTTATGTTCAATTATTTAAAAATTGGGTTATATTATCATTTCTATTTAATTCTACACTTGTTACCGTAATAGCGTCGTTGTCTGTTTTTCTTCTTCTTCATAGCCATCGTTATTAAATTCAGCACGAGTTATCACAAAATATCTATAAATTCGGCATGAAAATAAAAATTTTTATAGGTTTGATAGACTGGAAAGAAATCAAGCAATATTGTGACGATTTGGGTATTCCTATATCTGATTCTAAAGCAGAAAGCATTGTCCATAGGTAAGAATTTATTTAAAGATTGAGATAAATTTCAAAACCAGTCTTTCTATAAAATTTTTTTCTGAAATCTTCCTAGAACATTTTATTGCCCAGTGAACGAATTCCATTTTATTCAGATTGATTTTTCGTATGACGTTTCGAATTATCTTTGTTTTAGTATTTTTTTTCGTCGAAATAATTGTTTTTTAGCATGAACCAAAAAGGATCAGCTGTTGTCGATCTTTCTGGATTCAAAGATTTTTTATTATTGTATCCAAGTTCTGATCCGAAAGATATTGCCAGATTCTGGAAACATAATCTAGTAAATTTACATTCATTCATTTGCATTTTTTGATATTTATAAATAAGAACCAAGTAAGGCTTGCTTATATTTAGATAATGGCATAAATAAAGTAAAACAAAAATATCACAGAGCAGAAATAAAAAAAATATAATACTAAAGTAATAGAAGAGGATGAATAAAAAATAAAGAAATAAAAAATAATGCAAAAAAACCAAAAAAAATTTTTATTGGTTTTGCATCACCTTGATTGAAATTTTCGTCATATTTTATATAAACTTTTCATTATGTACAGAGCCAGGCAATATTCCTCAAGTTAAATGCGGTTTCTCTAAACTCCTCATTATGCCTAAGCATATGCTGTGCACTAGAATCCTTATGCAAAACGATATAAATGAAATGGTTCAGTGGATTCATAACAAATTCAAGTTCGTTCATTGAATGGAACTTTTTTTATTGAGAATTTAATGGCTATTGTTCAGATCATTGACATTGGTGAAGATAGCCAAGTACCGGAAGATTTCACTTTACAAGAGCTTAACGAGGGTGTTTGGTGGCGGCATTTGGTTGCTGGTGGAATAGCCGGATGCATGAGCCGTACATGCACTGCTCCTTTAGATAGGCTTAAAGTATATTTGCAGGTTAATTTTTTCACTATTCTTTACAATTTAAGTGTGCGAAATTTTTTGAGATTATTAAAATTTTGTTTTAATAAAAAATTTTATAAAATTTATTTATTTTTATAATTTTATTTTTATTAATAATTTTGATGTGCTTGAGTTTTATTCAATATATTCAGTTTAAGGTGCATGCTTCTCGTGCGAATCGTTTAACTTTATTGAAAGCAATGAAGTATTTGTATGATGAAGGTGGATTAAAATCATTTTGGCGAGGCAATGGTATAAATGTGGTTAAAATCGCACCTGAATCAGCGATTAAGTTTATGGCTTATGAACAGGTCTTATTTTTTATAGTTTCGATTTTCTTATTTCTTCTTTTATTAAAATTCTGATAAAATAATTTTGCTTTGTCAGATATTTTTTCTTTAACTTGTTACGAACTTTTGCATTAAATTTTGGATTTAAGGTTTTATTGGTTAAAATTTGATTAATGCATAAATCTTACTGTGAAATCAGAAAATTATATAAGCCTAAATATTCAATTTAGTGGAAGCGATTAATACAAAAGTTTGGCCACGGACAAGAATTATGCGTTCAAGAACGCTTCGTAGCTGGATCACTTGCTGGAGTCTTTTCGCAGTCAATTATTTATCCGCTTGAAGTAAAGTCATTTCTTATTCGTGAGCTAATGGAACTTTCATATTTCTCCAAAAAAATTTTCTTAGTTTAATAAGTTTGCACTGAAATAGATGCTTAAAATGATATTAGTAGAATTTCAATGTTCTATGGAACGGTTTATTCTCCTAAAAAAGTATTCTGAATTTTATATGAAATTTCTGATAAGTTACTATGTATATATAGTAACTTATAGAATGTATAATTATTTCGTAGGGTTTTGTTTATTTAGACTTTGGTAGGTTTTACTGGCACATTAGTTTTTTTTTTGGTTTTCTTTTTGGTCTTTCATATTTATTATATCTAATGGTTCAGTAATTTTGCCAGTTGTAGGTGCTTAAAACGAGATTAGCTCTTCGAAAAACTGGTGAATTGAACAAAGGTCTTATCCATTTCGCTTTAAAAATGTGTAAAAACGAAGGACTTCTTTGCTTTTATAAAGTGCTTTATTCCATTTTCTATTGTCTTATTTCATTTTATTTCACGTACAAAGTATCGAAAAATGCAAAAAAACATGAATTTGATGACAACAAATGAGGTTAAAGCAGGGAGAATATAAATGAATAGAATAAGGTAAAAAGTCAAAAAAAGAGAAGAAAACAATTCCAGTATTGGATTAATGTTGCAATTTTTTTTATAAGATGTCGCAGATGACCTTGTTGAGATTTCTTTTAAAATTTGAGGCATTATTAGAAAGGAATAGTTCAGTAATTAATAGTTCTAACGAAGAATTGTGGGACAGTAAATTGGTTCTTCAAACAGATTTGCCCAGTTTTAGTCCATAACTTCTCATATCATAATTCAAGTTGAAATCACTGTAATTAGCTCATATTGATATGACCGAATAAAATTTTAGATAAAGTAGTGATTAAGGTAACATAAATTTGATTTTTGATTTGTAATTAGAAGCGATCGTATTAATAAGACTTTAGTACGACTTTATGGTTAATTGAATTGAAAGTGAAGGTAGATCATGATTATTTACCAAATTTGTCAATTTTTTCTTGTAGGGTTTTGTACCAAATTTAATTGGTATTATTCCTTATGCGGGTATCGATCTAGCTATCTACGAAACTCTTAAAAACATGTATATGAAGCTGCAGAACAATTCTGAACCAGGTGTACTTGCATTATTAACTTGTGGTACTTGTAGTAGTACTTGCGGTCAATTGGCCAGTTATCCACTTGCTCTTATACGAACCCGATTACAAGCGCGAGGTTTCTGTTAATTTTTAATTTTTTACTTTGTAATTATCGTTATTGTAAGTTAATTGTTTTTATTTTTCGCAAATTTTATATATGTTTTAGTTAATTCTTATGGATTTGTATTTTTCTGCTTATTAGTTTCTTCGTTTTAGCCACAAATTCGCTTTGTTTACAACGTTTAGCGTTTTTAAGAGTCATTTGTTTTTTCATTAATATTAACGATTTTCCAATTTTAATTTAAACGTTCTTTTCAGCAGTATCTGGGAATCTAAATCAACCAGCTACTATGAGTGGTCAATTGCGGTATATTTTAACAAACGAAGGTTTCTTCGGTTTATATCGAGGAATTGCTCCAAATTTTTTGAAAGTTGCACCTGCCGTTGGAATCAGTTATGTAGTTTATGAAGCGATTCGCAAACAATTAGGTGCATCCATGACATAATCATTTTTAAATTCTTTTTTGCGAATATTTTTTGGTGAAAATAAATTATCGTTGAATATCGTTGTTTCTTAAATTTATTATAGGTTTTTTCATAATATATTCACTTGTAATGGTTTGAAATCTTATGCGGTATTATTTTGGTTTTATTTATTTTTTCAGATTATAATTTTTTCAGTAGAATTATGAAAAATTTTTCGCTTAGAATATTTTCTAGCTGAATAGATTCAGAGTATTGCCGGTAGCACTTTTTAAAATCATTGATTGTTCTGTATTAATCTTTATAGGAGACTCATTTTATTCTCGCTTACTTTGTAACTTGGAAATTGTTTTTTTTTAATTATTTTTATATGGCCATATACTGATTACAAATCTTTTTACGCTCTAATCTATTCAGGTTGACATAGGTTGGTTTTTTTTTTTATAAAATAGGCCACTTGCTTTAGCTAATTAACTTGTTAATGCTCAGGAAAAGGATCTCAGTTTGTCATTGAGATGCACTGTATTTTAACCTTTTGCACTGAAAATGACCGTATACATTATCATTGTATCTATAATAGTTGGTCATTTTTATTTTTTCATTTTCCATTATTTAAAATTCAACATAATTCATTGCTTACAAATCAGATTTTTGATTTTTATTAGTGCGATATTAGTTAAAATTGATATTGACAACTTTTGTTTTTGTGGGTGCCTTCGTTTATTTATTAATTATTGTGAATTCCAGTTAAAAGCGGAAATTATTCCCCTCAAATGCAGGTAAATTCTTTCATAAACTAATGCATTTTATGTGTTTGGAGACTCCTTTAATATTATTTTTTTTGATATATATATAGGTGATAAGAAATTGATTAATTTTTTTCTAATCATTATAATTATTTAATTAGTTGTTTTTCTCATCGCCTATTGATTATATCGTTCGAACAATTTAAATTTTTTAGGCTATTTTATAATGAACGAGAAATTATTAATTATGGTTAATATGCTGAAATTTCCTCATTTTTTAAATTTTTAAATTTGCAAATTTCTGAGCATCGCTAGTCTTTCATTTGTCCTCAAATTTCGCTTATTACCTCTTCAATTTTTTTGTTTTTTTTTCGTTATTCTAAATAAATATTATATTTGTGAGGACTTTTTGTATTAATTTTTAGAAAATTGTTTATAACAAAAGTTTTACTTTTTGAATCATTTAAAGACGATAATGAGAAGAGTTGAGAAGATAAGAATTTGCAAAATTTTGATAAGAATTGATAATTTTTATCTCGGATTCTGTTGTTCGTACGTTCGTGAACAATATGTGTGTTCCATTAGCATCGAATATTACGATATCATAGATCGTTTCGCAGAAATAAATGAAATGTTTTCAATGCGAAATATAGGTATAGGTGTTTCAGGGTGTTTGGTTAGTGCGAAAGTAATTGCAAAGTCCGCATTTTGCGAATGCACCATCCAGATTTTCAAGATTTTTTCCTGTTGGTTCCTTTTTAGGTTATTAACGTTGAATAAATTTTTCGCGAACAGATATGAAGGAAACGGCAATAGTTCTGCCGACTTCTTTGACTGAAGAAGAGAAAGCGTTGAAAGTGATGTTTGAAAAGCTACGTGCAATTGTAAGTCAAAATTTTCATTTTTTTTTTTGTAACTTTTTAGAAATTTATAAATTTCTCTGCGAAGTAATTAAAAGTAATTCTATAATAAATATCTAATAAATTAATTCCACTGAATTTACATTCCTCTGAGACTTTTCTTGAAGTAAATTTCTTTTTATCTTTTTATATTCTTATTTCACCGACAAAAGTGTTTGAAATCCATTTTAAAATTTCTTTTTTATTTATTTTTTCAATACATTCAGATGAAAATTATGGAAATTTTAAAAGAAAAAATTGCAGCGAAAAGCATTATTAGTTGCGACAGGTGTTCATAAGAGTGTTGCCAATGATACAGCAAAAATTGAACGTAAAACTGCAAAAAGAAGTATTTTTTATTATTATTGTTACTATTGTTTGTTTTTTTTTGACAATATGTTTTTTGGAAAATTATTGATAAGAATCTTAAAAAAAGATCTCTTGCTTAAATTTTCATTCGTAGCTGCTTTATAGGCTTGCAAGAAGCTGAAGAGGCTACTGAGGAAGTTAAGAGAAAAGTTATGTCGGGAGCGATTAATCTTGCAAAATTAGATGAAAAAATTACATTTAAACGTTCGAAAATTGAGAAACGCAGGGTAAATTTCATAAAATTTTTGAATTTTATCATATCATTATTATATTCTTTATTCAACTCGAGCAAATTGTTTTTTTATATCTTATCATTTTCCTGTTTTATTTATTTTTATTCAGCTTATTCATTGCAGGATAGTGGAAAACTAAAATCCGATGCTGATTCGGTAAATGGTTTAATTCCTTTTTTCTTTGATATATTATGCCAAATATTTTCTTATCCGACCATTCTATTTTTTTTGTTTCTTATAATTTCGGGAAATGTAATCTTGAACTAACGGTGAGAAAATTACGACAAATGAGGCTATTTAAATGTTAATGTTCTGGAATAGGGTATAATGGTGTGTTGTTTAAATTGATATCAAGCAGCTTGGGTTCGATTCTTGGCAGTTAATTGCAATAACTTATCATTTAAAAAAAACAGAAGAGAGATGATGCTAAAGACCCATTCTTCTGACCTCTTATAGTTCTCTAGTAATTGTACCAGACTTAAAATTTAATTTGGAATGGTGAAGAAATAATTTTCAGACACATATTAATGAAACTCCAGCTGTCGATGGTTTTGACACATATAATTCAAGCGGTGATGGTTTTGATAATTATACTGCAGGTGATGATGGCTTTGATAACTATAATAGTGGCAGTTTGGACAATCACGCTTCTACAAAGCCAGTTCCGTGTAATATGGAAAATCGAGTGAGTTTTGTTATAAATATTATATATATTATAAAATATTATATAAATATTATAAATTATTATATTGATTGGTGAATCTCTATGAATGAAAAAAAAAAACTAAAGGGACCGACGTTGTATATACGAGGCTATGATCTTGTAGCTGATACTTTGAAGAAAGCCTTCAGTGAATTCGGGAATGTGATGTGGGTTAATGTGGAAGAATGTCAAAGGTTATTTTTCTTTCTGTGTTTTTGTGTTTTCTTCTGATAATTCGACGTTTTAAAAGTTTTCAGTCTTTTCGATTGAAATTTCCTTTTCTTTCTTTGATATACTTAAGATATGTTCATGCTTAGGACGGCTTTTGTAACGTTAGGAAGTGCTGAGGAGGCTGAAAAAGCAATTGAAGAGGTAATTCATTTTTTTTCACTTCTAAAGAATCAATCTAAAATCTTTTAATAAAAAAAAGCGTAGTTCTAATCGTAATCATTTTTAAAGATGGATGGTTATATGGTTAATGGAATAACTTTACGAGTCTCCTTTGCTCGACGCCAAAATCAACGCGGCCCTATGAAACGTGATGGCGGTCGTCAGCAATATGCCAACCACAATAAACAACAAGAAACGGTATTTTTCTCGAAATATTTTTAATCATTTTTGACTTCGTTGTTTTTTATTTTTTTTTATTTTTTTGAATTTGATGTGAAATTGATTAATTTTTCAGGTCGATTTGGCAAATTTATATGGTTCAACCCCGTCTGAATTATATGGTTCAACATCGGCTGACTCGCTTTATTCGACCCCTGCAGACTCGAAAGAGGATGATGGATTTGCCACATATCAACCATTCGAGATGAATGCTTCTGCTAATGATGGATCTGATGCACAAGATTCGCAGAATGAAGTTGATATTGCTAATGATGGTTTCGATACTTATACACCATTTGGAAATGAAGGTCATTCTTTTCTTTTCTTTTTTTCTCTCTTTCCTAGTCGTTCTTTAAAATTATATACAAAAACATTAAAAACCTTATGTAAAATTCATACATGGCGATATTTCTCCTATATTTTTAGCTCTATTTGTCGTCTGACATGTTTATTTCATTTGGCTCATTTAATATTTGAAGATTTAAATATTTAAATTGATAATTATAAATATTCTAGATGTTGACAAGTCCCATGATACCAAAACATATGAAGAAAATTCTTTCGATAATTATAAGCCTTCAAATGAATCAAATGATGATGGCTTTGATAATTATCAGGCAACAAAAAATGATGGTGATTCGGGCTTTGACAACTATCAAACATCACAATCACAGACTGATCAAAATCAAAATCAAAGCGTATCACATCAAAGTCGCGATGATGATGGTGTTAGAGTACGTTTTAATTATCTTAGTTTTTTCACCTTATTTCATTCAAATTTAAATTGTAATCTTTTTTTTTTAATCATTTTTTTAGGGTCCCGCATTGTATCTTCGTGGGCGTGATTTGGATGAAAATTCACTGAGAATTCTTTTTGAAAAATTCGGCAGAATAGTGAAAATGCGAGTTGAGGAACATAAAAGTTATGTTGTATCATGCTTTTAAGATTCGACGAAATTTAAAGACCCTCATTTTCTTACTTTGATATGTCACTTAAATTCTTCATTGGTTGTAAGGCAAATATATGGCAATAAATAAAACAATAAATAAGATATATATAATCAAATATTAGATCCAGCAGAAGATTTATAAAATGTTATGAATCACTGATCAAGAATTTATCCTCCAAGAAATTGGCACGATGGCTGAGCAAAGCATATAGTGTTTCAGTTTATAAATGAACGTATAAAGGCTACAGCGATGTCATTTAATCGTAGGCTGATGCTCTTCAACCAGTAGTTTTTTATATGGCTCGTTGTAAAAGATAGATGAGAAACATAAATAAGAAGATAAAAGAATTTATATATTTATAAATAAGAAACAAGTTTAAAAATTTAAAAATAAGAATTTATAAAAATAAATATCTATCTTATAAAAATATATGAAATCTGTCATCTAGCAAATACAAAATACCTGGTTTTTTTAATGGTTCAGCTAGTTTTATTTCCACATTCTTTTCATATTGTATTTCCAATTTACAATTAACAGTTTTATAATAGTTTTATAACGATATTTTTTATAGGACTTCGTTTATAACGATGGGAACTACTGAAGAAGCTGCATCGGCGATTGAGATGGTAATTATTTTGGGAAAATCAAAATCTTCATGTCAGAATTTAATATTTCTATCGAAATAAATAAAATAAATAATTCTAAATTTAAATAATTTATCAAATTTTATTTGCTTTTTATTTATTTATAGCTGAATGGCACAAAAATTGATGGAAAAATCTTAAATGTTTCTTTCGCTAGACGACAACCCCAACAACGTTTTAATAATCCAAGGCGAAACAATCCACGGAGAATTTCACCAAATCGCGACCATGGTTCTGTATGTTTTTCAATCCATTTTTTCTTCAGTCTGTTTTTTAAAATTTTTCTAGATTCTTCAGATGACTCCTTCGGATCCTCTTACCAGAGAAAAAATCGGTAAATCTTCCCATCTTTCTCTACTATATTTTTTCATATTCTTTCCATCTTATTTGTACACTATATATTATAGGATCGTAGAGCTAAAGAGACATTCGCTCCAGAAAATTTAGCAGCAAGCGATAACTTCGACAATTATTTGTCTTCTAAGAACGATGAGCAACCAAAGGAGCAAATGCCAAAGAGATCTCATTTGAATGACAATCGAGTAATTTCGAAACGATTATTTTTGAATTTTTTTGACTTTTGCATAGATATTAAAAATTCAAGTAAAATATCTAAATTTTTTCAAAACTTTTCCTTTCTTTTTCGTCCTTTTATTCATTTTGCAACAAATTATAATTTTATCTTCAGAATTCGCGAATTTATATTCGTGGAACGAATCTCGACGTTGATTCTTTGAGAAGCGCTTTCTTTAAATTCGGCTTGATCAACAAAATTTTTGTTGAAGAAAGCAAAAAGTTGGTATATTTTATCTTGAAATAACTGAAAACGCAGTTGAATTGGTCCAATTGAATTAATTGTTTTTTTCCAATTTTTAAAATTTATTTCTATTCCAATTCCAATTTTTAAAATTTATTGTTTTGATACTTTTTGATACTTAAATGGTGGAAAAAAAACTTGAGTTTATATTTTTCTTTCTTCATCAAAACGGATTAGATTATTTGGTGATACAAATTGGTCTTCAAATAATCTTGTTATTAATGGCTGATTTACTCTAACTAGAAAAGAAAATTTCTTATATCAAATTCAATGAAGGCATATAGAAATTCACTAATTTAATTTTATGCTTTAGAGTTCTATTAACCTAATGCTTTTTTCAGTTCTGCTTTTATTACTTTTTCTGCGATCGAAGAAGCCGAAGAAGCTATTAAAGAGGTTCCTTAATCTTTTTTTATTTTTTCGAATCTTAAGATTTAAATGTTTCATAATCTTCTTCTAAGAATTTGGTAAGAATTTGTTTCAAGATTGGAGCGACTTCTCTTCTGCTCTTTTTTTATCTTTTTTTTTAAATTTTGCCGATATAGTGGACAAGTTGCTTATGGGTATTATTATTTATAGATGGATAATGGGCTTATTAACGACTCTATTATCAAAGTTATGTTTGCTCGAAAGCGAAGTGCATTTAACGAAGAAAATGGTATTTCACATGAAAGAAGCTCTCACAACAGTTCTGATGATAGCAAGCGAATGCATACTCGTATCTCTGATCCTGTATTTTTAATATTCGTTTGCTTTTTTTGTAAAATTTATTCAAAAAACTGAACATTATTTCTTATATCCTATCGTTTATTATATCCTATCGTTTGCTTAATATTTAAATAAATTTTCTTTATTGTATTTTATATTAGAGTATTTCTTTGTACATTCGTGGAGAGACGCTAACTGATGGCTTATTGCGAGATGAATTCTCAAAATTCGGCACAATTTCACGCATTAAAATCGATGAAAATAAAAGGTTTTGCTTATTTTTTAAAAATTTCTTTGTTGTGATTGAAAAGGTTTTTTGATGCTCTTTTTTGTTTCCCTGCAGCTGGCTAATAGGATTTTAAAATCATTCTTATTACTCACTTGTTTTTGATCATTTCATTCAAAAGAGCATTTTCAGGACAGCTTTCTTAACTTTTCCCATTAAAGATGATGCGGAAAGTGCTATGCAAGAGGTATCGGTTTTTTTTCTATCAATATTTTTCCAAAGTCTTCAATTTTAAAAGTTGCAATGAATCTGTGACAAACAATTTGTATAATTCTATTATATCTGTTATCTATCTATCAAACGAAAAAATTCAGAATTCAGCTGTAAATTAAATCAAAGCCAAAAGCAATAATCTGTAGTTATATTTATTTATTTTTCATTCATAAATCTTTTGTATGAGTAAAATTTTATTGTTTTCCGTTTTTATTTTTATAGAATTTGAGAGATTTCCGAGATTTCACTTAAATTTTTATTGTATAGATGAATGGAAAGACAGTGAATGGAGCTCCCTTATATGTGGCGCTTGCTCGTCGACAGAGTGATCGATCCAAAAATAACCCAGGAGAAAGCGCATCTATTGTTAGAAACTTTGCAGACGATGAATGTAATAATGAAAGTGTATGGTCAGATGTTCAGAAATCTATGTCAAGCGATTTCGAAACACAAGAAACCATGTCAATTCAAAAACATACATCTGCTGTTCAGGAAGAGTGGACCATAGCTAGTAATATTTTTTAAATTCATTTTTAATTTTTTCTTTACTTTTTTGCATTGTCTTGTGATTATTATCATTGATTAGCTGGAGCTTTGTGGCTTGTTTTTATAATTTTTTAATTTTAATTCTATAGTTTTTTATTTTTATTAGTTTTTCGGGAAATTCATAGGTTCATTAATGCAAATTTATGTAGAACCGTCAAATTAAAGAATCTGAAATAATGTAATGGTTTCTTTTGCACAATGCTAATGTTCTTTTTCACATTAACGAAAGGAGATGTGAAAACCAGACATTTGCCGAAAATCTGTTTTGTTGTTGCTGGTTCGGCTTATATTTTTAAAAAGTGCTAACAACTGTAGACAGTTGGAGACATGATCAGATTCATTGTTGAGAAAGAGATATTTGATCTTTATCGTTGTCGAATTTCACACTAAGAACAATGTGAGCCGATATTACCCCATCGAGTATACAAGGTCAAAGGTCCACTGATCTTCACCGCCAACATCACAAACAAACATGCCTTTCCTTGTGTGGTTTCGCGCTCTCATCAATGAAATGAAGTGTGGTAATTTATTGATGATTGTGGAATTTCGTGAATCCATCAAACAATTACTGTATGGTGACCTTCAAGGAAGATGACCTTTTTTCTTATTGACGAACAAGTTTACGACAATTACCGTAAACGCTGAACTATATTTAACTCATGAATTATTGCGATGTTTTTTATGAATCTAATGCATTGTCTTTTGTCATTAAAGTTAAGCTTTTTTTCTAAAGTGGAAATTTACAGATTTACAGTTTTTTATTCGATTTTAGATTGTTTAACATCGCTCTCATTTTACCCTTGACCTTTGACCTCCTTTTATTCCTTTGTTATATATCACCTCTTGAGCTGTTTCTTTATTATATATATTGTGAATTTTATTGTATTTTAATTACGAAATTAATTGTAGTTATATTTTGCAGCGAGAGCCAAACAGGATGGCGAAAAAGCAAGACAAGGAAATCAAGAGAGAGAACTCGTTACTTATGACGATGATGATCCATTTGCTTGAAGTCAAATAAATTTAAAGCCATTTATGGCATTTTATGATATTTATTCCATTTTATTTTGTGTGATTGAATTTTAAAGATTATTGGGAATGTGGAATAATGAAATCAATCTGTTAAAATAGAATAATATTTATATTTAGATTTTGTATTTTATAAGTTTTGTTTTATTTTGGTTGTTTTAATTCGGTTGTTCCAGTTAGATGTTTTTTTTGAGTTTTTAATTTAATTATTTTATTCGATGTCATTTTTTTTGCCGTTTCAATCTTTATAAAAAAAAATTTACGTGGTTTCTCGCTTGACGAGCTCATCGTTTTTTTTTTGAGGGAATAAGTTTTATCAGTTTTTTAAAAGGCTAAAGCAAAGAATGTCTGAATAATGTTTTATAATCCTTAGTTAGTGAAATATTATCATTAAAAAATGCAAAAATTTTTACTTATTAGAATTTTATTTATTAGTTAAATGATGTAAACTTTAGTTGTGAAAGACGCAATTGTTATACAATAATTAATAAAATCGGTCATTTATTTTTATTATTATTTTTATTAATATTAGTTTTAAACAAAAAGGATTTATTCAAAAATTTAGGAAAAAATGTAAAATAAATACAAAAAAATAAAAAACTATAAAATCATGGTCGGTACCACCGTTTCTTATGTTTACTAGTCTGACTGAGAGACTGCAACAAGCAACTGGTTCATGAGTAGCTGTTAGCTTCTTTAGCCAGCAGGTGTGGATCGTGTGTGGTTCGGACCAAAATAAATAAATAAAAATATAAAATAAAATAGAAATATAAAAAAACAGTACAAAAATATAAAATGAATTCGAGATGGCCACAAAATTATAAGCGAATTGCATATCAAAAAAATTTGCAGTTTCACAATTCAACTGCGATGAAAAGCAATTAATAAAATAAGACTGCAATGAATTGAAACAAGCCTGTGGGGATTTTTTAAATTATAGTATTATAACAAATGGCGTTGCCTCGTTCTACTCTTTTTGAAATATTTTTTGTGGTACTTGGGGAAAAGGATAAAATAGAAAATGGCCAAAACAATGGAGTGGTATGCTATCTTCAACTTTAATCAAACGATTATTCCGAGAATTTGATTAAAATGTAAAGGATACGACGGCTATTTGCATTTCTGCTTCATCATAAAATTGCAAAATTCGCATTCCAATAGCCAAGAAATGGTGCTTTTAGAAAAAAGTGGTACTAGTTAGTAGTGGTAATTGCAGAGGAAAGGAACGTAGCATATTATCAAAATTATAAAAAATTGTGCAAAATCTCATAAGCATTTTCGAAATTCTTATTTTAATATAGAACTGAAGGTTGCAAGTTTATCAATCGGTTATCAATGATAAGAAAAACCGGATATATTTTCGAATATATATATTAAAAACTGAACATATATATATATATATATGTTATTTTTCTCTTATAATTTTATAATTCTCGTATTCGTTATAAATCTGGTGAATGATATTCAATAACATGTTGTTATTCTTGACCCCGTATTTTGTTGATAATATCAAAAATCGAATAGAGGTCCCGTAGAGGTCATGATCGTCCACTTTCCTTCGTTCCATGTTGAGATTCGTATAGGAAGTATTGCAATAAGTATCATTATTGAGAAGCATTCGTTGTTATTGTACACAATATTGGTGCAAAATAATATTACTATTCAATATCCTCCTTTCAAAATCTTTGAATTTCTTCCTTTCACCATGCTCGTAAACTTCGAGGAAACAATTCGGGAAGTGACCTATTTCTATTTCTCGAGGAGCTCCCCTGCGAATTGGCCTCCTATCCTAGAAATCTGTGAAGGCAGCCAATTAAAAAATACGCCGTTAGGAGGAAGAAGCCTTGAAACAGTAGCAATCGTTGGATCCATTTCGTATTGCTTAAAAGTTAAGACGAATATGCATTTCATTTGAATTTCGTTTAATTCGTCGGTGACTTTATTTTATTAACGCAAATATGCATTTTATTATTACTTTTATGATTTTATTATAATATTTTTATAAGATTTAAATATAAATAAATCACATAAAATTGCAGTAAATCTTTTTATATGAAAAAAAGAATTTCAAGAATTTTTTTCTCCTTGTTTCGTTGACTTGACGCACTAGAAAAATATGTCAGAGACTCCCTTAGCGATAGAAATACAGGTGAGTCGCCAGCACCACCTGGATTTTTGGACAAGTATACTCCTGCGGGGAGTAGAATCTCAGCATCGGCGCTCCCCACCAAGCCATTCTACTCCTCATTTTGACATAAAAACTAATAAAGTGATTCGAATTTTGTTGATAAATCATGAAATATGAAAGAATTTATTGAAACCTAAAGGTAATATCGATGATTTTATTTCATAAAATAATGCAACTATTCGTTTTATTACTTTTCTAATTGCATTACAATGTCTTCATTTAATCATCCATTGGGAAATCTGCCACGCATAGCTTATATGTATTACATCAACTTTTTTCACATCAGTTTTGTTTTGCTAGCTCGATTTAGCCTTAGAAATAAGAAAGTCACTTGGGGAGTTGGAAGGCTCAATGGGTTCTCCAGCACTATCCATTTACAGCGACAGCTTTGCCTCCGACAAGAGACTAATCGTACCACTTGGAAATACTACAGCACATAGCTTATTTGATAAACTACAATATTATCTATTCATCGCTCAAATTACTAGAAAAAATTGCGAAAAATGTTGCATTTTTCTTTTTATCTTTTATCATTCCACTTTTCAATTGCTAAAAATAATCATCGTTGTGATTGTTATACGACTTCATTGCCTCGTTTCACGTGTTAGCAAACTGTGATAAGCATCGACTGAGCATCGAAGTTGACGAAGTTGACGACAAACGATTGAAGTAAATTTTTCGTCGCCGAAATTCATCGTTGCAAATAAGGCAAACGACTTTTTGACATTTATTTATTCAGCGGCTAATTTATTTCACTTTCTTCTATAGTAATTCTATAGTTTAATTTCGTTCAATTTTGATCAGTTTTTTCCAATCTAATTTTTCATTAAGTTTATTGGTTTCATTTCATTTCATTGAGTAGTTCGCAGCATTTCTCTTTGGGCTACTTTCGCCATTCCATTGGTAGTTTTGCCATAAGTCACAAAGCATTTTAAGGTAGAAGCAGTCATGCGACTTGCATTTCGTTTCCACATGCATTTAGAGCAATAGTTGAACCATAGTTGAACGCTTTGAATGGTAAAATCCAGGCAAAATCTACTTGGATGCTATCCCTCTTATGGGTCCAACAAAAACATTGTGCCAACAACGATTCGTTTTTGCCTTAAATAATTAGAATGCATTTAGCTGTTAGATTATTTCTAAGACTCTCTCTCTCTCCTTGTTCAAAACTATTATGTTTTGTCAATCTTTTGACAAATCGGTAAATAATCTTTGCAAATTGTACCCTCATTTTCTCCCTTTTATAATCCTAACAGACGATTAGCTTTGATTGTCAGCATTGGTTGACCTCGGCGTAGTATTTATGACGAGAATTCTTTTGACCGTCGAAAATTTGACCACCTGACAGACCAATTCATTTCATTTCCGTTTTCTGTCGATAATTAAGTTTTTTGATTTTATGTGAATAAATTCAAAAATGAATTTCATCCAATATTCCAACTAGAAATTGCAAGAAATTACAATTGTGAATGAATGTGATTGGCATATTTTACTTTACTTCAGATATGGCTCGCTTATTAGTTTGCTTTTTAAACGGCTAGAATGTTTTGCCGGGGAGTTGGCAGTGGAAATAGAGGTAAGTCGCCAGCAGCACCTCGATTTTTTAATCACATATTCGTCGTTGGAGAAACCGCACACAGACATCCCTTACCTTCCAATACCACAATTTGGCAACCCGCTATTCACTAGGCTATCGTATGCCTTGCAAATATTTAAAATTATCTAGTGAAAATTTTAAAAAAAATCAACAAGATTACAAATTTAAAAGCTATTGAAAAATTAATAGATAATTTAATGAATTTAGATTTGGATTAAACGGTATTTCGAAATTATTTCCTGTTAGTCCATGGACATCCAGGTTTTTGTGAATTTGGGCATTTCGTCTAATGGTTCACGCATAATGTCCTCCTTATGAAAATATCAAAAATAAAAAATTTTTATGATCATATGACTCTGCTTGATTCAGTTAGCACTGAATATGTCCCTAGCATAGCCATCTTCCTTTGGTCAGCATTTATCCATATTTGTGCTTTCTTGAAAATACTCACAAGGACCTCAATTCCTCAAAGAGAATCGTTCAAGGCTATTTTAAGCCAGAAAATCAAGTGTTTGATTTAATAAAAAAAAAGAATTTTTTTAAATAAATTGAGGCTTTAAAATTTGATTCTTTACACTTTTAAATAATTCAGACATCCATTCATTATTCATTAGTCAGTCCGATGTAGCGTGAAAAACGCGATTAAATCATGAAGCTATCTACTGCCGAAGAATTTCATGAAAGGTCACCGGAGGTTACCATTAGTGGTACAACTGTTTCGCTATCAAGAAAAATATTGCAAGTTTTCGTGAGCAATTTTTTTTCTAGATGTCCTTGTAACGTTGCAGAATTTCTCATTTGTCTTCAAATATTTCTTTAGTTTTTACTAAATTTTATCGCTTTTTTTCGAGATATTTTGCTAAATAAATAGGTCAATCTTCTTTTATTACTTTTTGATAAGTTATCACTTTTGATATCACTTTTTCGTACGACTGCTTTCTCTTAGTTACTTTTCCAACTATCGCATTACGAAATGGTCTCCATTGATTGAAGAAGTTCGAGTTGTTCGAAATCCACATATTCTCGAGGTTACTTTGTAGAAAGAAGCCACTCTTCCTTTCCAATAACGATATCTTTTCGATATAATTAATCCTCAGTCCGTATTAATACTAATTTATACGGCACACTCAATCTTTTCTAAAATTATATCTTTGGTTTGATTGGTTCAATTGTTACCAAAGCGAAATTCTCTCGCTA